ATCGGGCCCAGAGTCTCTGGCAATAAGCTCTGTAGTGAGGTGAGCCTGGGTACCACCCCTGGGAACCTTGCGTTTTGTTTGCGGGTAATGAATGCACTTGGAAGCCTTTCTCAGAGCGAATCCCTAGCAGGCATAAGAGCTGAATGAAACTGCATCAAGATCCAGTGCACACTGCAAGTACACAGAGAAGACTCCCTCCTTCTGGGATTAACCAAGGACAGGGGAGGGAATCTTATTATTTGATGTTTATTATTTGTATTACTGCACATCCCAAGCCAGCAGCAGGAGGAGGAAAATGTAATCCTCTTAAATGAGGTTAAACACAAAGTATCGTACTGAGAACTTCCAGCAAAATTATTTCTAGTTGTAAGCTCCCTATACTTGTCCCAAAAGATAGAGAGCTAATATGTATGCAATGCTAAAGAGACTTTTGTATACAGCAACTTAGGCACTAAAGGAGAATTTTCACACAGCAGCAAGCTTCGAAATAATACTCTGCCAAAAGAATTTTACTCAGCCTGCATTTGCCTTTGTTATATTTAAAGATAGTTGTGCTTTCATACGTGATCTTTCCTGCCAAGCAGTGACTGCTTGATCCCACAGTATTCATAATCCTCTGCTTCCATAGTCTATTGCTATGGAAATGCATATAATGGTGATTGCTATTTGTAAAGCCCTGACAGGTACAGATCTGAACTATTACCTTTACCAACCAAACTTGTAATTTATCCAAAATATGTATATCAAATTAGTTTGACAGAATCTATTTTCCATAAACCGATGTTGATTTTCATTAATTACATTACCCTCTCTAAGGCACTGTCCCTGCTCAGAGGAGCTTACAGACGACAACAGGTGGACAAAGCAAAATGCTCTGAGAGACTCAGAGGAAGGGCCTCAAATGCAGAATTGTGACTTTACTGCAAAACAGGCGGAGAAGCAGGATTTGCTGCGAGGGAGCAAACAGCAAATGGGCCCGCTTCTCCGCTAATGTACACTGTGAATCAAAGTGAATTCCACCAGGCCAGGTTCTGCTCTCAGTTACTCAGGTGTAAATCTGGAGTAACTGAACTGACTCCCATGGAGCTCCTTCGGATTCACTGTAGTAATGACAGCAGGGTTGAGCATAGCCTAGTTATACTGGTGCAAGAGGGAAATCAGGCCCTAATATCTTTGACAATTAACAAAACTGATAAGAATTAATAAATCCATTAATCGTTTGGATACACTTGATTTCTGCTCAGCTTCTTGGTAAATTTCCCCATGTGTCTAAGGCTTTCTTTATGAACGAAAGTTGAAGAATAAGGGCTTGTCTACATAAGTATTTAGTTGGCGGCAATCTGCGGTGTGAATTTACCCTGCACTAACCCACCACGCACTAACTGGGCCCTGCTGATGTGCACTAACAGTTTGTTAGAGCATTTTAATCCACTCCCGTTCTAAAGCAGGGGAGATCACGTCATCAGGGTCCACACGAACAGTTAGCTTGTGGCAGGTTAGTGGAGTGCAGATTCACATCTTGGATTGCCACAAACTAAATGCTTGTTTAGACAAGCCCTAAGAGTTCAGTCACAAGGGCAAATCCCACTATGTTATTCTGCTCCTGTTCAAGCCCCATCCTTAATTGGACTTGTTCCCTCTCTCCATTGAGAATAGGATGCAGTGCTAAATTTTTCTGCCACAAGACAAAATGCCAGAAGGGATGGGAAAGGGGGGGGGGGGGGGAAATCAACAGACGTATAGCTGATCCTTTTTGTCTCTTGCTTGAGAGGTCAAGAAGTTCAGGAAGCCAATATAATCCATGGGGACCTCTCTCTGTAACTCAGCACTTTCAGCCTGCTACCCTAATGAACATCCTTGTCATCCATACCCACAGGCAGGGACCCCACACTTCTCATGGGGGTGGCACACTTGGTAGAAGTAACCAGAAAAGCTTTTGTAAAGAAAAAATTTAAAAGTGCTGCATAAATTCTAAACCATTCATGTGTATAGGCCAGTTCTTCCCTCCGTGACACTAATTTTAGACCGGTGTACTCCCATTGAAATCAAGGGAGGTCCAGCAACACAGATGTGGTGTAACGGAATGGAGCGTCAAGCCTTAGTACACAGACTTAAAATTTACAGACACATTTTAAAACAAAACAGCCCCACATAGTTCCTCCATCACATTCCTGCCCAGATCTGCGTTCAGGGTCTGCGCTTTCCCTACCGCAGCTGATGTTATGGCAACCCGCAAAAATAGCTCCATTCGGCCCTGTTCTAGGTGTTTGTACAATAATCAACTGTTGCAAACAACACAATTCTTACCCAGGGTCCAATTCTGACGTCCTTACTGACGCTGAGTAGCACTTACTCAGATAAGTGCCAATAGCTCTATTGGAGTCAATAGCAGTACTCATGGTTGTGCACCTCAGTGTAAACTAAAAGGTGGCAGAACTGGGCTAGACTGTAAAGTTACAATCTGCTCTGTGTAAGGGGGCAGCATTGTGCTCTTGTCTGCTCTTAGGATGGCAGAGCTAACTATGACTCCCAGCCAAAATACCGTCTCTGCTCTCCCCCATGCTGTGGGTTGGGGGAATAAACTCCTTCATTCCCTTTAGTGCAGCAGTTTACTCCTGTCTAGGCACCCAGCCAGCTACTCTGCCATTGCCTTGCTTAGCAGCCCATCTAGCCCATAGTGTCTAGATCCCTTCTGGACCAGATTGTCATAGCATTACTCATACTGAGTGGCACCTGGCTTCATGATCATTCCTACCGAAGTGAATGACACACACCACACATGGAATCAGGTGCATTCAACATGAGTAAAGGTATCAGAATCTGGCCTCTGTACAAAAATGAGACCAGTATTACTCACAGAAGAGCTTAACTCAGTGGAAGTTTCTATCACTGGGCCTGATTCTCCATCACTTGGCACCTTGTGCAGTCATTTACACCTGTGCAAAGTACATGTAAAATGCTAGTAAATGAGAATAGTTACTTCTCTGCTTTCAAGTTGCAGAGGTGTAAATGGCTATACCAGGTTCAGAGGAGGGAAAAATAAGGCCATAAGTCTCTGTCTTTGGTGTTTTTAACTCACTTATCATATTGGTATTTAAATGGCAAGTTGCACCAGTGCATCCCAGGGCAGGCTGGGCACATATTCTATTAACAGTTGAGGATCTTGCGTTTCTGAAATACTCTCTAAAAAGCTTCATCGTTCAACAGGAAAGCAGTTATATGACATAATAAAAAAGAATGGGTCGGTCCATAAATTGCAGTTATCGGGGAGTATTTATGGATTCTTGTCATAAAAGAACAGAGATAAAGTGTTGCTAGATAGTCCAAATGCAAAGAATTCCCAGAACATAACATTTCCAGTTATACTGGCTCCTTCGTGCTTTGAAAGTAGAAATGATTGTTCTGATGATACCACAGAAGAATTATTATATTTAGCTTTAAGTAATATTTCTAGTTTGAGTCAGAAACAGGAGTAGAGTTTTGATTTCCAACACTGCACTAGGTTTCAGGCAGAAATATTTTTGACTTCAGTGGAGGAGTTACTCCTTATTAACCCATGTGAGAAGAATCAAGTCCATGTAACAGTGCATGAGGCCCTTTCCTTTACAGAGGGAAAGTATTTTAAGAGGGCCCAGTTCTGCAACCTTTACACATGGCAAATAATACTTACATTAGTCCTTGGGTCTATATAGACCCTAAACACAGGGCTAAAAGTAAGTTTCACCATGTACCTTATAAAATGCTGGGACAGAAGTTAGGCACTAAGCTAAAATATACCAGGGATAAGGACCAAATTTAAGACACCGGTTGCCAGTCTCATTTATACTGGACAAATTGGCAGTAACACCAAAGACGTAAATATAGTTACTCCAGATTTACACTAGAATAAATGAGTCACTTGATTATTCATATAGTCCCCAAAATAAGCATCTAGAATTCTAGGGTAGATCTCAGGGGCGGGGGGGACGGGGACACTTCCAGAAATCGCTATTATAACTAGCAGTTTAGCAACAGAAATTTATCAGAGTTTGACTTGCAAACGTGTAGGTTGTGGGTGAGGTGCTAAGATTCTATACAACACACCTCTCATCTCTTTCCACTAAGTTTATTAGCTTTCCCATATAGTGGTACTAGAACAATGTGTATAGTGGGGGTGCTGAGAGCCATTTAGATAAACTGAAACCCCTGTATAAAATGGAAACCACTTCAAGCCAGAGGACGTGGCAGCACCCCCAGAACTCCAGCACCCCCAGAACTCCAGTATAGTTCCCATCTATATGCCTGATTCAAAATTGTTTGCCCTTGGAGAAGCCCTCACCTTTTTTAAGGCCTGCTGCCAGTATTTTGGGAAGGTTTTGTGTGCTTTTAATCCACATTGCAGAAGGGAAAATTTGGAAGTCAATACAAACTAGAGAAAGTATAAAATATTAAGCAATATTAAGGCAGCCACAGTGTTTAATATTCACAGCTAGACTCTCCTAAACCTCTTCCAGTAATAAAATCTCAGAGCTGTCTCAACAAAATGTAATTTTTTGCTCTTCTTTCTGAAGAAACATTTGAGTGAATGAGAACCACCCTCTCCCTGAGTCAAATCAGTCCAAGACTTGCCAAACACACAGACCCCTCAACAAAGTCAGCCTACCATGTGCACCTGAGTCCTGCCTGGGGGACCTGGGCCAGCCCCACCTGGGGGGGTGGAGGGCTTGGCCAGCCCACCATGGTGTCCCGTTTTCCCTTTGGGAAATATAGTCACCCTAGCAATAACTCAAAAACGAAACAGACAAAAAACCCCAACACCAAAAAAACAAACAAACAAACAAAAAACCCTTTCTCCCGGCGCAACCACATTTCCCCTCCAACCCTGGAAACTCACGTCCCTTGTTTTGCAACATTTTCTGCCTTTCAGTGACATCAAGAACTAATCAGAGCAGGAGAGAAGCTCCTGCTTGTCAGAAATGAAAAGCACTCGGTCTACAATTCATTTCTCTCTTCTGTCCCACCTCTCCTGACCAGCCAGTCCCGCTCCTGGTCAATTTTTAGCCCGGATGCCATCACCGCGGCTCAGCATTCCCCTCCCCCTGCTCCGACCTTCCTTTCGAATCCTCGCGACTCCAACGTTCGGGAAACATTGTCCTAGCGTTCTCTCAGCCGCCGGGACTCGTCTCGAACCCAGTTTAAATTTGCCCCGCCCTCAGCCGGCCCACAGCCGTTCGTGTGTTATGCTTTCTACTCCCATGGCAAGCCGAGCACCGCTGCCTTGCGCTGGTGGATGCTCCGCCAAGAGAACAGATGCCCTGCATGGGGGATTGCTTGCAACTTACTCCTCTTCTTTCTGGCTGGGGAAATTCCTCAGGCATCCTGTGCCAATGGCCTGGCCCAGACTTAAATCTCATTCCTTAATATAACTGGAACATTACCTGGACTGAAATAGGCATAGACTGGAGAGGGATGGGGGCTTGGGAGATGCTGTGTTCCTGGAAGCTAAAGTCTTTTGGTCAGGAACAGTCTAGTGACACCTTTCTTCAGAGCCAAGATGTTAGTGCCTATGTCCTGGTCCATTTCCAACTAAGTACGGCTTTCTGCCCCCGGATTTTCCCCGGAACAAGGTATCCCTCTTCCCTTCCTGTCCCAAATTGTTGTGCAGCACAGTGGCGCCCCCAGCCATACACGTCACTCACGGTCCATACCCCTGGCAGGGGCGCCAACTCATCAGGGTTGGCCACTCCCAACGGCAGTGGTACGGAGGAGCAAGTTTTGCCTTGTTCCCCCTTCATCGTGACGGAGGGGAACAACCCTGCAACCCCCATGCACCAGGCTGTAGTGCCACTCACTCAGTTTTGGCCCCACCACCAGTTGTCACAATAGTGGGACAGCAGGGCCAAATCTGGGTGGGTGGTGTGGTGGACAATGCCGCTCCTCCTTGCTGCTGCTGTGGGGCTGGTTCCTGCACTAGGGCTTCCCCCTGGGCCAGCCTAACCTTGCCCGGCTGACAGCAGCCCGTACCCCCTTTGTTGTGCCCACACTGCCGGACTCACTCCGTAACAGCCTGATAGACCTGCTGCAAGTATGGGGAGCTGCAGTGCATGTCTGCACTGGAGAGCCTGCCGGGAGAGAGGCAGCAGACAGTACCATGTGAAAAATTTCTGGGGTCATCCTGGTGCCTTGTTGTTCTGCGCTGTTAACCAATAGCTCTGTTTCCACACAAAAGAGTGCTACAATTCAGTGGCGAGTGATACATTTCCATATATCCTTGATATGCCACATTCCTCCTGCAGATCTGATTATTGACCTAGGTTTTTATATGGTTGTCCATTAGCCTGGCATCTGAGCAGCTGAGTTTACAGTGCCTCTGTGTTTGGAAAGTTTTGGAAATAGGCAAAGGCTGGTTCTGTGCATCACTCAGATGTTTCTTCATAAAGAAGAGGGAAACTCTGTAGTTGGCAGCTGGTATCAAGCAGAGTGTCCCAGGGATTGGTCCTGGGGCCGGTTTTGTTCAACATCGTCATTAATGATCTAGATGATGGGATGGATTGCACCTTCAGCAAGTTTGTGGATGACTCTAAGCTAGAGGGAGAGGTAGATATGCTGGAGGGTAGGGATAGGGTCCAGAGTGACCTAGACAAATTGGAGGATTGGGCCAAAAGAAATCTGATGAGTTTCAACAAAGACAAGGGCAGAGTCCTGTACTTAGGAAGGAAGAATCCCATGCACTGCTACAGGCTGGGGACCAACTGGCTAAGCAGCAGTTCTGCAGAAAAGGACCTGGGGATTACAATGGATGAGAAACTGGATATGAGTCAGCAGTGTGCCCTTGTTGCCAAGAAGGCTAATGGCATATTGGGCTGCATTCGGAGGAGCACTGCCAGCAGATAGAGGGAATTGATTATTCCCCTCTTTTCGGCACTGGTGAGGCCACATCTGGAGTATTGCGTCCAGTTTTGGGCCCCCCACTTACAGAAGGGATGTGGATGATTGGAGAGAGTCCAGCGGAAGACAGCGAAATGATTAGGGGGCTGGGGCACATGACTTATGAGGAGAGGCTGAGGGAACTGGGCTTATTTAGTCTGCAGAAAAGAAGAGAGGGGGGGATTTGATCCCAGCCTACAACTTCCTGAAGGGTGGGGTTGCAAAGAGGATGGAGCTACGCGGTTCTCAGTGGTGGCAGATGACAGAACAAGGAGCAATGGTTTCAGGTTGCAGTGGGGAAGGTCTAGGTTGGATATTAGGAAAAACTATTTCACTATGAGGGTAGTGGAGCACTGGAATGCGTTACCTAGGGAGGTGGTGGAATCTCCATCATTAGAGGTTTTTAAGGCCCGGCTTGACAAATCCCTGGCTGGGATGATTTAGCTGGCATTGGTCCTACTCTGAGCAGGGGTTTGGAGTGGATGACCTCCTGAGGTCTCTTCCCAGCCTAATCTTCTATGAGTCTATGATTCTAATAACCGCATTTAAAGAGACAGCTTTTTTAGAGTCTAGTGCTGATGTGTACAGGTGTGACCAAGAACTCTGTTGCACTTTCTTGGAGTCTTTTGCTTCATAGATCTCACTGGCAGCTATGGCTTTGTCTTTTATAGATAGTTTCATTGGTCCTGAGCCCTATATGTTATTTAGAAGGGTATTTTTCATCTTTGCTATTATTCTTATGGGGTGGCCCAATAGAGTGACCTTAAGTAATTCACGAGGAAGAATTTTTCTTATGTTCTGTTATTCTGGGTGTTGAAATGAGAAAAATGACAATAACTGAAACAAAACTAAATATGATAAGGTCAATGGCCACAATGCCATGTTGCCAGCAAAGCCCTGTGCTCTATATGCCCTTCAACTTGCCAGCACATCCTTGCTTTTCTCTTTGTGAAATGGCAATAGAAATTGAACAAAATGTCAGTGGATTTGACCTTTGCAATCACTCTGAAGGAGTTAAAATTGATAAGAGGAAAGTTGGAGACACTGGAGTAGCTTGCATCCCTTTACCTACTCCAGCAACCGGGACTGCTTCCCCCATGCCAATTTAAGATTTTAATCTGACATCATGGAGGACTTGTTAAAGTCAAACTCCTAGACCATCAAGTTATGTATAGAAAAATGGTTAGAAAAGATTATGATACACTTTTAACAAGGATGAGAGGGCTTGGAATTTCAGTTCAAGATGAATGGTTTTGGGGAGAGAAGAATTTAGGGCTTCCTGAAGTAAGATTTTTTTTTTAATATGTATAATTGACTTCAATTTCCCTTTAGAAAAAGGTCAGTTCTTGTCTTCCAATGATGACTGAGAGGAGGAAACCTTAAGACTATTCAGTAAGCAGGCAAAGAGATCAAGAGATCTCAGCTTCTTCTATTTGATCTAAAACAGAGTTTACTGCACCTATACCCTAATCCCTTTTATATTTAGATAGAGGTCCTGGAGCATATGTAAGGACAGTTTTTGAGATAATGGAGGGAAACCCCTGGAGCCAAAGTCATTATTTTTGCACAAAGTGTTTAATGCTAAACATAAATATTGAGAGAATTGAATTCCCAGTCTGTTGTAGACTTTACACTTACACTCCAGATCTTGCTTCACATCCAATTATTAAGAGCACGATCGTAAGTGAATAGAAAACTGATAGGAAAACTTTACAGCAAAGACAATTAGAAGGCATTATTTTACAGTTAAAAGGGAAAAAAGCATTTTTTGATACAAAACAAAGAAAAATGGGGCACATTAGCATCTCACCACAGACAGCACACTCCAGTGGGTCTGTAAGGGGGGGAAACACAACTAAGGGAAATGACTTTCTGCAGTGATGATCCAAGAGTGGATTGAAGTGTGAGTTCCTGTGGTGCACATTCATCAGTCTCTCTATTGTAATTCTCATGATTTACACCCCCACAGTCATGATTACATGGGGAAAAAATGATCTACAGCCTGGATGACTCCAAAAAGCTACATTCTTTGTCCAAATCCAATCAAGTTCCATGGCGGGCAGGACTTTTGGTTTAGCATTAATTTAATATATGAGGCCCTGAAAATAACACTCGTGGCTTTTGAAACCTCAGAGGTGAAAATAATGTTGCTTAAGTACTGAACAGCAGATTACCTCTGAAATCTTGTCATTGCTCATTCATGAGGGAGTTTAGCTTGAGTGAAGAATTGGACTCTACATCAGGATGGAATTTATTGCAAAATGTAGTCAATATAATTTCTTGGGCAAAATTCACTTTTCATGAACACAGGGGCAAGTCTAGGGTAGCTGCACTGGAGCTGTTTATGGATTTACTCTGGATTTACACTGTTGCATAATGGACAGCAGAATTTTGCCTCTCATCATTAGACTGCACCTGTGTGAAATCCTCATGGCATTTCTTTGAAATGCATAGTAACAGCTATAGTAGAGGTTGCGAAAATGTTTCCATTCTGTGTGTGAAATCCTGGCCCCATTGAAGTCAATAGGAGTTTTGTCATTGACTTCAATAGGGCCAGGATTTTACCCTAAGACCTTATCTCCAGTTGCTCATAACTTTCTGAAACTTTGAGCTACCGAGCTGCATTTTTTGCTGGTAACAGAGTATTCAAATTGCAAGTCAAACAAAGGAAAACTGCAAAGCATGTACACACTTAGCTGGTTTGGATTCACCTATGTGTGGGTACAACTGGTTGCAAAAAGGTTAAAACAAAAAAATCCTCAAAAAAATTCTCCAGAATTTCTTTCTATATTTCACTGAAATGTCAACCCCTCCCCCTGCCCCCACCCCCAATCTGGCCATCTCTAATGAACAGTAACAATTTGTGATTCAACCATTCAGAAGAACCAAACAGCTCATGGATGTATGGAAGGAAGAAATCAGGGGGTGCATATTACTTAGCTACCACAGACTCAGAACATGAATTTGAATCAAAAACTTAAGCTGGCTTCATTCAAAGAGTCAAATGAGCTAGAGTATTTTTATGAGCACACTACATATACAGATTAAAGCAATGTTCTTTTCTGATAACAACTATGTAACAACTAACCACTCATATTACACAGCTGATAGTTCTTTCCTATATTCTTGAGTGGGTTTCCTTTTACTCTTTCTAGTCTGAACAGAAAACTCTGGTGATGATTGTGAAGGACAGATACAGAATTACTGGGCTTATATTAGTAAAGAGTGTGAGAACT